TGGTTAATTTTGTTACAGGCAGTAGCAAAACACCTTCGAGGGACAGTAATGAATTCAAGTGCAGTGATTTCAAGCTTGGTTGGACCAACACAACAAATGTCTTTAGCTAATCATGCTGTTAAGGGCTTGTATTTCACATTGGCTGGTGGACCTGAGGTATCCTAAGTCTCCTTCCTGCTTTAAATTAATCAAGTTTTAGAAGGAGAAACAAAAAGAAGGAAACAGTTTTCTTTTTGCCAAATATTTCATAATTATGAAATTTTCTCAATGAAAGAAATCAAATAACACTTTTCATAGACTTGATTTCTTTATTTAAAAGTGGAAAAAAAGAAGAAGACATTTTAACTGTGAGCTATGTGCATTGCAGAGTCTTGCCGTTTCAGTTATGAGCTATGTGGGAGTGCTTAGAATCACCCTAAAGACAGAAAAGGACTTCATAGATGAAGAGAAATTGAAGGCATGCATACAAAGTGCCTTTCAGATGATACTCAAAGCAACTACAGCAAATTCCTGACAGAGCAATACTTTAGTGTGCTTGCCACTCAACACAGAAGTCAAAATTCTTACATTTATTTTCAGGATTGGAATTGCTTGTTTTAATTTCTTTTGTACAAGTATCATGTCATTATTTCTTAGATTTGATGAACACCTTAATTCATTAATTAATATGATGTGTGTATGCTCTGAAACTTCATAAAGGAGGTCCACTCATCCGTGTAGATTTTCCATATGAAGTTATGTATTTCTACTATTCTCCATGTCTCGCTTAAATGCAAATTTTCGTGTTAATGAAAAAATCAGTATTTGTGATATTTATTTATTACAGATGGGCGGGCAGGAATTTAACAAGAATGTTAAGGGTGGCTTGTTCTCTGGAAATAACGTGCACTACATAAAAATAGTGTCGTTAAAAAAAGTTGACAAACTTTCAAATTCAATGCATTTTTTTTTTCAAGTTTGTATTACTTTAAATTTTTATATTTCCTAAAAGTTTTTGTTGTATTGAATATTTAAAATTTTGTTAACGAATGATGTAATTGTTATTTTTGTTTTTTCATTTTTAACCGAAATTATAACTTACTTATTTCTTCTTTCATATTTTCCAACTCGTTAATAAACTCATTTCTTCTCTGTTAAAAGTGAGAGTTGAATTGTGAGTTTTGGGACAATGGAGAATAAGAAGCGGGTGATAAATAAATTAGAAAAAGGAAAATGAAAATAACGATCACATCATCTTATCTTATTGGCAACAAAGCCAAATAATCGAGTACTTGAATAAAAACAAAAACATTTTGAGCACTCAATGCAAATTTTTTATATTTAATAGTTTTTCTTTTTTTGTCTCTGTTAAAATTACTCAATATGTAATATGTGATTCATTTGTATCAATGTAGTCATCAATTTTGTTAACAAGAGTCAACGTGATTTCTTTTGTTACATTGGTGCTAACACCATTTATAAACTAATAACATGACAATGTAAATGACAAAATCTTATGTAATAATCATTTTAAATATTTATAATGTTACGTATCATTCACATTATCACATTATCATCCTATAAAAAATGTGAACATCAATTTAATGAAAGAGATCATATTAATTACTTTTAACAAAAATAAGATTATATTGAGAAAAAAAAACGAGGGATCATGTTGAATAATTTTGACAAAAATTGAGAAAAAAAAAGTTATTAAACCTTTCTAACATAAAACCAATTGAAAATACCTAATTTTATAAGATACTCAATTAATTAAGTTTAATTCGTATAATTGAATTTTAAATCCAACTCCATTAATGACGGGAGCCCATGTTTAGTTGAGTTGTGAAAGGTCACATTAAGTTGATCAAACCCACATCAATTGAATTGAGTCGAACTTAAATGTGTAGCATAACTTAAGTCTAGTAAGGGAGGGTTAAGTCAACTTCAAGTTGGTTAGGTTAAGGTTCACATGAGCACAATCGAGTTGAAACCCATTAAGTTGAGTTGGGTTGGGTCCAAGTCAAAAGAGGTTAGATTAGATTGGACCCAAGTCATGCTAGGATAGGTAGAGTCAGGTCAAGTTCAAGTAAGGTCTAAAATATTTTGGTTAGGTCAGACCCAAGTTACTTTAGGTTAAGTTAGGTTGAATCCATGTTTGGTTAGGTAGAACTTAGTCTAGGTTAAGATGGATGATGACATTAGACTGAACTCATCATATAACACTTGGTAGAGCTAAATTAAAGTAAAATTGTGTTGAGTCAAGTCAAGTGTAGGTTAAAATCTCAATTTGATCGAGCTTAATCCACATTAGGATGAGTCTATAGGACTGAACTCAGGTTAAGTTGGATCTGATCCGATTTGATTAAGTTGAACTTAAATCTAACCAATCTAAATTAAACCTAAATCTAATTTAATACAACCATATTTTTATCAATACATTGTGATTGTCAATTGACAATAGTTATAGCTAAAAACAAAAATTACAATGGAAAGAACAAATATATACAATTAAGACAAAATTTGGTGAAACGACTATTAAAGAGTGGAACAATTTTCATTGACTTTATGAAGTTAAAATGGAATCTAGCAGATCCTTTGATAAAATCTTTGTGAAGAAACATTGTTTTAGAAATATCGAAGGCAATAAGACTGAAGTCACTTGCAAACAAATAAGTGAGGGTAATCTAACCTTTTTGATTGAAGATCCCATGAATAAGGTTCATGTGGGTAAATTCTACGTGGGAAAGTAAATTGATTTTAAATCAATTTATGTCCATTCCTATATGATGTGTGTGAAAGTGTTAGAGATTTCATTATTGAGAGGTTAAACTTTGTAATTAAATTTTATGTGGTGTAAAAATTTTAGTTTAAACAAAAATTTTAATAATTTTATATTCCTTTAAGAGTGATGTATGATTTTCAACATAATGAAATAACACGTAAGAATATCGTGACTTGTATAAGATCTTGACGTGATCCCTAAAACACACAAATACCTAACATTTGATAACTTAGTAATGCAACAAGAATTATGAGATGATGATAAACTGCTAGTACACTAAGTATTTTAGTTCGTATAGATTATTATATAACTATATTGTATGCTAAGTTTATCAATTTAAATTTAATTTATATAATTTATTATACCAACTTTTACACATTAAATCTTATAACTCATTTTTTTTCTCTCTTTTATTCTTTCTATCTCTTACTTTTTGCAATATGTGTTGAAATATTGCAAAAGGGATAAATCCAGAACATTGTTGATTTTTTGCAGAACCTTTCCACAAAGTGGTTCCGCAAGCCGTGGTTATTGTTCCGCAAACATGGTTTCTTTTATGCAAATTGCAGTTTCCATCTCAGTTTCTTCGATGTGGGAAGTGGGTTTCAGAAGCCACTTCCTATTATTTATAAATAGACCATTCATGTTTCGAAAACACAATTTAACATCTCTTTTCTTATTATCATCCTTTTTATTTTATTCTCTTATATTATCTGAGTATATTTATCCTTTAAAAGAATTTCTTATAATTTTTGAGTTTTTCTAAAAATTCAAAAAAAATCTTGGTATATTTCGAAGAATTTGTTCAATATACTACGAATAAAATAAATTTTAACGACACTAGATATACATAAAACCATATTCGTGTTTTCGATAACCGTTTGAACATAATCTTTGTCTTATTATAGCAACATCGGTGGTGCAAACATATTGGACAATAAATGCGGGTCAGCTTACGTTATTTAATTTTCGGTGACATGTAGTTAACAGTTAGCCAGCAATATTGGTTGGCGTTTGGTGAACCTAATTCAAAGTACAAATGTTTGGACAAACACAGTTCTTAAAAGAGTTTAATCAACTTAATTTTTTTTTTTGCGTATAATATTCCTTTGATTTTGTTTATTAAACATGTTTATCTTTTAAAATTCGATTTAAAAGGATTTTCATATATGGAATAAATCGCAAGTGAACCCTACTACGTGCGTACATCATTACTCCATTTTGAAGATTTGTCTGCAATGACACAAGCTTCTTTTTCCGACTGTATGAAAACCAATAGGTATATTTTGACTTAATTTGAAAGTGCCGCCTGATATATTTAGTTATGTTTGAAAGGAAAAAAACACGATAAAAGGTCAAACAAACAAAAATAAACGTAAATTTTAATTTATTTTGATTTTTTTTTGCTATAGAAAAGAAAAATGGTGTACAAAAATATTATTACTATTTTTATTATCATAGAAATGTGTAGTGTAATATAAACCATAATTGAAAATTGGAATGGTTTATATTATTAATTGATAAATTCATATTTCTCTTTACAAATAACAATCTTCTTCATAGAAATAATAGAAATATGAACAAATTTAAACTTACATTAATAAATAATTAAATATATTTTTAATCCTTAAATTTTGATAGAAATTATCAATTTTTTTCTCAAAATGTGAAATACATTTTATATTTCAAACTTTGATATATTTTAGTTTTTAAACTTTAAAAATAAATCTATAGTTCTTTTAATTCAATTGCATTAAATATTTTTAAGGTGTCAAACATATTTCAAGACATGTTTTACACAGTTTTAACATATTTTAGTTCAAATATCAATCTAAAACATCATTTAGCAAGTTCAAAATGTCTAAGTTAAAAAGATTACATTAATTCATTTTTTAAATTTAAAAATTAAAATATATCAAAAGTTATAATTAAGACTAAAACCATTTTTAAGCTTTAAATAAATAAATTGTCTAATTATGTGAAAGGCTAATATTGCAACATTTAAATGGATTATTGTTTGTGATTAATAAACATTAAAAATAAAAGAGGTAACAATGTGTACTTGTTTACGAAATAATGAATTGTTGGTTCTTATGTACAGCTGAATCTGTCATTCTTGCTCTATGGCTCTTGTTCTTATCAAAGTAAAACTTACTCCATTTCAGTGGTAACTTACAACAATCTAAGGTCACTCTGGCACGTCTTTATCGCTTGCTTTTCGTCCTCACCTTCGTTCTGTGTACTATATATATGGTTTCATTTCCCTGTTGAAGTTGTCAAATTTCATAAAAGATATACTATGGAACACCAAAAAGAGGAGCTAGCAGAACCAGTTAGTCCTGTGGGACAATACTTCAACAGCTCTGTGCTATGCATTTACATCATAGGAGTTTTAGAATTCGAAGTTCCAATAGATGACTTGCAAACATATGCTCTTCTCCAGGATGTTTTCCTTCCCATCAATCCACGCTTCTCCTCCATCATGGTTCTCTCTTTTGCTTCCTTACTACACTGTTTCATTTATTTTCATGTGCATGTGATGTTCAAGAACATTAGAATATAAAACACAATTTTTAAGTCCCCAATATTTGGCTAGTTAATGTCATGATCTCGTTATTAAGTTAGTGCATACCAGTTTTTACCTTTCATATCAAGTCTGAAATTTGCATTGATCATATGGTTACCAGGTCCAAGATAAAAATGGAGAGAAACAATGGAAGAAAGTTGATGTGAACTTGAAAGATCATGTTCACATCCCCATTTTTCCCGAGGGCAAAACAGTGGAACATGACAAATATTTCCATGACTATTTATCAAGCATAGCAATGGAGCAATTGCCACAAAGCAGACCTTTATGGGAAATTCACATGATCAACTACCCTACAAGTGATGCATGTAGCACTATAATATTTAAGCTTCACCATGCACTTGGTGATGGCTATTCTCTCATGGGTGCACTTCTTTCTTGTCTACACCGAGCTGATGACCCTTTTCTTCCCTTGTCCTTTCCTTCTCTCAAACAATCTAAACCAGAAGCTTCCACTAAAAGCTTCTGCAGAAAATTCTCCTATATGTTGTCCTCTGCCTTTAACACTGTCTCAGATTTTGGATGGAGTGTGTTGAAGAGTAGCATCATCAGTGATGATAGAACACCAATAAGGTTCGGAGATGATGGAGCCGACTTTCAACCAATTTCCATATCAAGCATGACATTCTCCATTGACCATATCAAGGACATCAAATCCAGACTTGGAGTGGTATGAAAACAATTTCTGGTTGTTGAACTTTATCTTTGACTTTAGCCATACATATAGTCTTATTGGATCGCCTACTTGTCAGAGTAGACACACGTATATTATTATTCAGTATTCAACTTGTGGTGGTAGAACTGGTTGGATCTTATTATTATTCGGTATTCAGTATTCATCTTTATACAATCACTTATCTAATTACATTCCATCATGCAATAAAACAACCTTACCATGTAACCACTATGAATCATGGTCCATCACTATCTTCAAATCATTGACATAGTATCATTTTTTTTGATCAAACTTTGTATTACCAATTGCAGACTATAAACGATGTTATCACTGGAATTGTCTTCTATGGAACTCGATTATATATGCAAGATATGGATTCCAAATCAAAGAGCTCACACTCCACGGCATTAGTATTACTGAATACGAGAAACATTGAAGGTTATCAGTCAATCAATGATATGCTTAATACTAAAGCTAAGGGTCCATGGGGGAACAAAATTACCTTCTTGCATGTTCCAATACCAAAATTAAATGAGACCAGAATTTCTACCCCTCTTGAATTTATTCGGGATTCACATAACATCATCAAGAGGAAGAAACAATCTTTGGGTGTTGTTCTCACCGGGACACTTTTGGACTTAGAGGGCAAACTGAGAGGACAAGAGGTTGGTAGAATATTTGGTTACTTAGCTTGAAGTTGATCATGATGTAGTTACTTACATTTTTCCTACCAATAATCTGTGACTGCTTCTTATGCAGCGAATATAAGCACTTCAATCAGAATGCTATAATTGTTAATTTAGTTCTTGTTGTTGCAGGCAGTAGCCAAACGCATTCGTGGCACATTGACAAAATCAAGTGCAGTGATTTCAAATTTGGTTGGACCAGTACAACAAATGGCTTTAGCTAACCATCCTGTGAAAGGCTTGTACTTTACATTGGCTGGTGGACCTGAGGTATTCTCAATCCCTTTCATTTTTGAACTAATCATGTCAGTATGTGAGAATCTGCATTGATTCTTAATTTCCTTTTCTAGATACCAAATAAATTTTCTAATTTTCTGGTAGCCAAAATTGGAATGACACTTTAAGAAGGTTTTCTCATAATTTTTGGCTTAAGAAGGAAAGTTTTTATCTCTTTGTTCCTTGACTTGATTGCTGTGATACAAAAGCACCATTTAATGGTATTTGCAGAGTCTGGTCATTTCGATCATGAGCTACATGGAAGTTATAAAAGTTACCCTCAAAACGGAAAAAGACTTCATAGACGAACAGAAATTAAAGTCATGCATGCAAACTGCATTTGAGATGATTCTCCGAGCAGCTATGGAAATTCCTCTCCAAACAAAACGTTAGAGTTCTCCCTCACCAAATCGTTGTAATCAGCTTGGAGCTGCTTAATACGAAATCAGAGAGAGAAATTTACATATTATTTCCCAGGATTTATCAACGCCTTCAATTGCTATTCCATTGAATTTGTCGTGTGTATGTTATGGAAATTAACACGAAGCCCACCTTGGGATCTGTCGTGTATATATATATTTTCTTGCTCTATCTGTCAGCAGCGATGGTTAAAACTACCATGGCTATGGTAGTTTTGCTGAACAGGAAAATCTCACCTACGTAATCGTTGAACACTTGTTATGATATTTTTTATACAATTAATAAATAATCGTCTGCAACATGAATTAATTACAAAGCTGTTGGATGTTTTTTACACGTCTATACATGGAGAGAAAGAGAGATCATTATATTAACTCCTATAAATTGTCATACATCACTGATAACTTCTCAGTACAGATCACTTCTGAGAGAGACACTTTTGTAAATTGTACTCATACGAAGTCATAATCCTTATCAATTGTCTCCTAAATTAATATATGGGGATAGAGAAGACTTTCATGATAATACACTCATCATAACTATATGTAATAAAGTGATAACAATTCATAATTTTATACGTATTTTTAAAATAATTATCATGAAATTGTTAATTTAATCATAAATCTTAAATTTGTACTTTAGAGTTAATTTAAGAAAGAAAGAAAATTCATCCACCGATTGTTTTCCCCTAAGTCGACTAAATCATCGTAACATGGTGTGTTTCGCCACCAACTTTGACTGTCAACGCAACAGCTGTTTCATCATTCATCACAGCGACAAATCACAAGACAATAGGTTTTTTTTAAGAAATTAGAATGGATTGGGGTCTTCTTCCACATTCTGCGGAGAAAAAATATTTTGTAGTTCGTGGAAAAACAATTCTTAATTTATCATGATAGATTTTGTTTTTTAAAATAAAACTGTCGCAAGGTTGTTAAATATTAAAATAAAGAAATGTACGAAGAGGTAGATGTACATGTAATATTTAATAAAATGAATTGATTACATATAATATAATATGACTATTGAAAAAATTTAAATAAATAAATTATAATCTTTTTTTGTCTTTTTTCCGTATATATTAGTTAATTTTTTTATCTGTACTTAATCTCATACTCAAATCCATAATTATATTCTTATGCACCACTAATTATGAGAGAGAACACTAAATTATTCATTGTAATGGCTACAATATATGGACGAAATCCAGATTTATAACGGTTACATTGATTTAGCGTGGTAAATTGAAATTGGGAGAAACATGATTCCTCGTGTCTCTCTAAACTAATAGTGAGTTTTGGTGGAAAACTTGAAGAGCATATAGTGATTGTAAGGCTTTTCTGGGGTCACAATTATCGAAGGAAAATTAGGATGATTCACAGAATCAGGGAAGGCTTGAGTCTCCAAACACAGTCCTGCATGAGCATTGTATACAAATCCACCTTTCCCCTTCAGATTCTTGATATAGTTACCACTGTAAAACTGCAAACCAGGAGCATTTGTGTACAGCTCCAACACTCTTCCAGATTTCTTATCATGCACTATAGCTGCTAGTTTCTTCTTTTTTCCCTTCTCAACATCCAGCACATAGTTGATGTCATAACCTTTGGTTTCAGCCAGCTGGTTGATCCTGCTTCCAATAATCTGTGGCTTAAGGAAATCATAAGCTGTTCCTTTCACAGAAGCAAATTTTCCTGTGGGAATGAGTTTGCTGTCAACTACTGTGATTTGTGAACCAAATATCTGCACAACCTCGTTCAGAATGTCGCCACTGTTTTGGCCTCCTAGGTTCCAGTAAGCATGGTTGGCCAAGTTCAATGGAGTTGGTTTGTTCAGAGCTTTTCCTTTCATAAGTATAACCAATTGGTTTTTCCCACTTAGAATGTAGCTCACACTTATAATCACATCACCAGGGAATCCTGAAATACAAATATCAGTACTTTCTATCTCTGTCAGAAATTATTTAGCTCACACTTACACAACATATTGTTCACTTTTCTGATCTTTTACTTTAATCATTTCGAAGCAATGAAAAGAACGGTACAATGGCTGACCTTCTTCACCATCAACGCTGTGGTAACTGAAAGTGATTCTAGGACTTGGACCTTCCTTTTGATACCTTTCCACTTTCCAAAGAACATCACTAAATCCTCTGGATCCACCTAATAAATAAACAGGACAGACAGAGCACTATGGTAAAAAGACTATACGACAACTAAGGTATAGGTATAGGTATTTTTTCACTTATGTTAAACATACCATGAAGTGTGTTGTTTCCTTCATTGGCAACTAATTTGTAATGGATTCCATTTAGAGTAAACTGAGCTCCTCCAATTCTGTTGGCTACCCGGCCAACAGTAGCACCAAAATATGTTGTATCATTCTTCAAACAGTTGGCATGCAATAACTTGGTCACAATTTATCCACTATATATGAGGGAAGTTGGGTGGAAATAAAAAGAACAAACTTTGTGGTATATAAATCCTCTGTTTGGTAGGGTTAAGTTGAAAAAAAAAGGAAATTTGAATTGAAAAGAAAGCATAAATCATAATCTCTACAACTCTAACTTCCACCAAGTAACTTACAGTAATCACAGTACCCTGAGCCTCACACGGTGTAAATAATAATGATATATTAATAGATTTTCTAACAAACATTTTGTCATTTTTTTTATTAAGTTTATAATATATCAGTATAATAATAAATAAATAATAAACTAGGAAAAAAATAACATATATAATATGATAAAAAAAACNTTCTAATTTTCTGGTAGCCAAAATTGGAATGACACTTTAAGAAGGTTTTCTCATAATTTTTGGCTTAAGAAGGAAAGTTTTTATCTCTTTGTTCCTTGACTTGATTGCTGTGATACAAAAGCACCATTTAATGGTATTTGCAGAGTCTGGTCATTTCGATCATGAGCTACATGGAAGTTATAAAAGTTACCCTCAAAACGGAAAAAGACTTCATAGACGAACAGAAATTAAAGTCATGCATGCAAACTGCATTTGAGATGATTCTCCGAGCAGCTATGGAAATTCCTCTCCAAACAAAACGTTAGAGTTCTCCCTCACCAAATCGTTGTAAGCAGCTTGGAGCTGCTTAATACGAAATCAGAGAGAGAAATTTACATATTATTTCCCAGGATTTATCAACGCCTTCAATTGCTATTCCATTGAATTTGTCGTGTGTATGTTATGGAAATTAACACGAAGCCCACCTTGGGATCTGTCGTGTATATATATATTTTCTTGCTCTATCTGTCAGCAGCGATGGTTAAAACTACCATGGCTATGGTAGTTTTGCTGAACAGGAAAATCTCACCTACGTAATCGTTGAACACTTGTTATGATATTTTTTATACAATTAATAAATAATCGTCTGCAACATGAATTAATTACAAAGCTGTTGGATGTTTTTTACACGTCTATACATGGAGAGAAAGAGAGATCATTATATTAACTCCTATAAATTGTCATACATCACTGATAACTTCTCAGTACAGATCACTTCTGAGAGAGACACTTTTGTAAATTGTACTCATACGAAGTCATAATCCTTATCAATTGTCTCCTAAATTAATATATGGGGATAGAGAAGACTTTCATGATAATACACTCATCATAACTATATGTAATAAAGTGATAACAATTCATAATTTTATACGTATTTTTAAAATAATTATCATGAAATTGTTAATTTAATCATAAATCTTAAATTTGTACTTTAGAGTTAATTTAAGAAAGAAAGAAAATTCATCCACCGATTGTTTTCCCCTAAGTCGACTAAATCATCGTAACATGGTGTGTTTCGCCACCAACTTTGACTGTCAACGCAACAGCTGTTTCATCATTCATCACAGCGACAAATCACAAGACAATAGGTTTTTTTTAAGAAATTAGAATGGATTGGGGTCTTCTTCCACATTCTGCGGAGAAAAAATATTTTGTAGTTCGTGGAAAAACAATTCTTAATTTATCATGATAGATTTTGTTTTTTAAAATAAAACTGTCGCAAGGTTGTTAAATATTAAAATAAAGAAATGTACGAAGAGGTAGATGTACATGTAATATTTAATAAAATGAATTGATTACATATAATATAATATGACTATTGAAAAAATTTAAATAAATAAATTATAATCTTTTTTTGTCTTTTTTCCGTATATATTAGTTAATTTTTTTATCTGTACTTAATCTCATACTCAAATCCATAATTATATTCTTATGCACCACTAATTATGAGAGAGAACACTAAATTATTCATTGTAATGGCTACAATATATGGACGAAATCCAGATTTATAACGGTTACATTGATTTAGCGTGGTAAATTGAAATTGGGAGAAACATGATTCCTCGTGTCTCTCTAAACTAATAGTGAGTTTTGGTGGAAAACTTGAAGAGCATATAGTGATTGTAAGGCTTTTCTGGGGTCACAATTATCGAAGGAAAATTAGGATGATTCACAGAATCAGGGAAGGCTTGAGTCTCCAAACACAGTCCTGCATGAGCATTGTATACAAATCCACCTTTCCCCTTCAGATTCTTGATATAGTTACCACTGTAAAACTGCAAACCAGGAGCATTTGTGTACAGCTCCAACACTCTTCCAGATTTCTTATCATGCACTATAGCTGCTAGTTTCTTCTTTTTTCCCTTCTCAACATCCAGCACATAGTTGATGTCATAACCTTTGGTTTCAGCCAGCTGGTTGATCCTGCTTCCAATAATCTGTGGCTTAAGGAAATCATAAGCTGTTCCTTTCACAGAAGCAAATTTTCCTGTGGGAATGAGTTTGCTGTCAACAACTGTGATCTGTGAACCAAATATCTGCACAACCTCGTTCAGAATGTCGCCACTGTTTTGGCCTCCTAGGTTCCAGTAAGCATGGTTGGCCAAGTTCAATGGAGTTGGTTTGTTCAGAGCTTTTCCTTTCATAAGTATAACCAATTGGTTTTTCCCACTTAGAATGTAGCTCACACTTATAATCACATCACCAGGGAATCCTGAAACACAAATATCAGTACTTTCTATCTCTGTCAGAAATTATTTAGCTCACACTTACACAACATATTGTTCACTTTTCTGATCTTTTACGTTAATCATTTCGAAGCAATGAAAAGAACGGTACAATGGCTGACCTTCTTCACCATCAACGCTGTGGTAACTGAAAGTGATTCTAGGACTTGGACCTTCCTTTTGATACCTTTCCACTTTCCAAAGAACATCACTAAATCCTCTGGATCCACCTAATAAATAAACAGGACAGACAGAGCACTATGGTAAAAAGACTATACGACAACTAAGGTATAGGTATAGGTATTTTTTCACTTATGTTAAACATACCATGAAGTGTGTTGTTTCCTTCATTGGCAACTAATTTGTAATGGATTCCATTTAGAGTAAACTGAGCTCCTCCAATTCTGTTGGCTACCCGGCCAACAGTAGCACCAAAATATGTTGTATCATTCTTCAAACAGTTGGCATGCAATAACTTGGTCACAATTTATCCACTATATATGAGGGAAGTTGGGTGGAAATAAAAAGAACAAACTTTGTGGTATATAAATCCTCTGTTTGGTAGGGTTAAGTTGAAAAAAAAAGGAAATTTGAATTGAAAAGAAAGCATAAATCATAATCTCCACAACTCTAACTTCCACCAAGTAACTTACAGTAATCACAGTACCCTGAGCCTCACACGGTGTAAATAATAATGATATATTAATAGATTTTCTAACAAACATTTTGTCATTTTTTTTATTAAGTTTATAATATATCAGTATAATAATAAATAAATAATAAACTAGGAAAAAAATAACATATATAATATGATAAAAAAAACATGTAATAAAATATTTTTTCCGTTTAAAAAGGCTCGGGAAAATTTTTATCTGATAAGGGCACTTCACCTACTACCGTGTAGTGCGTCCTTTCTACGATATCAGAAGAATAATTGATTTTGGAAACTTCCAACGTGCTTCACTGCCTTTCTTTTTACCCTTTTGATGATTCTTTGTGAAAAGCTTTCTAAACAAGACTACCACTAAACTAGTGCAATGTGTATTAAGATATATTCTCCGTCTTAAATTATTATGATTTAACTGAATAACGCCTTTTCAAATTAAATAGTATTTATATTTTTAATAAAATATTAAACTATTTATTTTATGCATACCTCCATATAAAGTAATGAAGAATTTTTATTTATAAAAAAAATTATTGGAAATTTATTTTTAATAAGAACTATATTTATTATTACCGTTCATCTATTTATAAAACTTTAACTTCAATCATTATACTATTTAACAATCAGAGCAAATTACTATTATTTTAATTAATTTTGGTCATCAATGATTATACCACGAAACATCATTGCAACCAAATATTCGACGGGATCGCACGATGCCTGTATAATTTCCTCGGAAAATGACACTTGAACAACCATTTTTGACAACATTTAGACACGCGCACACGTGTCAAAATCTGAGTGGTCCAGTTGGAAAAATTAAATGAAAATGGACCACTCAGATTTTGACACGTGTGCGCGTATCTAAATGTTGTCAAAAATGGTTGTTCAAGTATCATTTTCCAATTTCCTCAGATCTAACCTACACCTATCCGAATGCAACACTCAACACACCTTGTTGTCAACTTGTCATTACTTGTATGCTACTTTTCTTCATTATAAAATAGTTAGTTAGATAATCTACATACAGGAGAAGTATCACTTCTAGAATTTTAATTTTTTCAAAATAAAAATTTAATGAATTAAAATTTTATCTACAATCTCAAATCAACAAATTTTTTTTGAAGAAATAAAACAATTAAATAATATAAGCTAATACATTTTTTTCAATACAACTGGGGAAGGTAAATATGACAAATATGTATGTAGGAATGTTAGAGTGCCAACAACTAGAAAAGGGCTTTGAAAATTAAAAAACGCTATCCCTTTCTGTATTAAAAAACTGACTTATACGTCGACCCTTTTTTCCCATACTGACACAAACTTCAAAACTATCTTAATATAGTGAAATTTATTAATAAGTATTCAGACCAAAATAATAATATTTTAACCTAAAAATAATACGTTATATTGGACTCAAGTGGTGACCAGACTCTGGGGATGGCGACAAACTATACTCCAAAAGCCAACTAAGCATTTTTTGCGAAACCGAATTATTCATATCCATCACATGTTTGAATAAATCCAAGTTGTTGAACACGAGAAAATTGTAGCTTTGCAGAAGAAAAGAAATCACAGAAGGTAGCAAAGTCTGAAATCACAATAACGAACAAATACAGCAGAGAGTAGACTCACAGTGTAATCCTTAAGAGAATCGTATCCAAGAACAACGTCACCCAACTTTCCTAAACACAGATGACAGAGAAATCAGGAAAATAAAGAAGGAAAAACCATGATTTGAAGTTTAGATCAGTGAATTATACCATTCTTATCAGGGAGAAAGAGGGACACAATTGATGCACCCCAGTTGGTGACCTTCAAAGAAAGTTCACCTTTCTTAAGCTCAAATATTCTTATGTTTTCCTTCTCGACAACATAGCATTTGACAGAGGCAGAAGCTGCTAAGATGAGACTCAGCAGCAAGACAAAGATCTTGGTCATTTTTGTTGCACGTATGAAGGAAGAATGAGAAGTAGAGATTGTAATGTAGGAGGAGGTAGAGAAAGGGATAATGAGGAAAAATGAAAGACAGTGGGTGAGAGTGTCACATAGCACTTCACTGTTTTCGGTTTAAAACCACAGTTTACATGATATACTCTGACTAGGCTTGTTGGGCCTAGTGGACCCTCTGTATTTATTTGTCCTCCACCCAACTCAATGAATTTAAGGTTATCTTTTCAACCTCTGAAAATCATTTAATTAATTAAAATTTGAAAAATAAAACCATTTAAAAGGATCAAGTGATAATCAAAATGTTAGAGCAGTTCAAACTCAACACTTTTTGGACAGAAACTTACAGATGAACTTATACTTATAGGTTGAGATTAGTTTAGTTTAATTTTGAATCCAAACAAAACTTGAATCAAATGAATTTTAATTTTATATAAATTAAATTAAGATATATTGTGTAATATATGTTTAAAATAAATATTATCATGTCTTGCTTAATTAGTCGAGTAGATTCCTTGTTTTTATCAACGTTTGAGAACTTTTGGTTTTTGTTTCAATAATTGTCTATAAACATATTTATAAGTTCTTTTTGAGTCCATGCTAGTTTGAAGGCAAATCTAAAACCTTTGACCAAGGAAGAAAAGAAAAGAAAAATCAAGGCAAAAACCTGCTTCCAAATCGGCTTTTTCTTCCTACACTATATAATTTCTAAATGCATCTTTATAATTTTTAAAATGATCATGTATGTGTTGTACAATTGACATCTAGATTACTTGTTATGAAAATTTTTCAGAACAAGTTTTCTATAATTTTGGAACATAATTTTTGGAATATGTTTTGTAGAACACAAAATGTACTCTAGAATAAACTTTTCAAAACAAAATTTGGAAACAAACTTTCTAAAATAATTTTTTTTTTAGAATAAATTTTCCAAAATGCATTTTTGAACGAGTTTTTCAAAACAAAATTTGTCAAACAAACTTTTCAGAACATATCATAACTTTCAGAACGACAATCTTTTCAAAATGAGCTCTCTCTTCATCTTCTTGTTCTTCCTCACAATGCACTAAAAAACTAAGGTGCAGCATGTGATGGATGGCGTAGTGGCGACAACTGTGGCGTGGTGAAACGAGGAAAAGTATTTTAGTCTTTTTCCTGTTAGTATGGGGATAGAGTTAGTAATAATGTGGGTGCATGATGGAAAAGCCTCCAAAATTGAAATATGATCGTTTCTGCTCTCAATCTTTGAGCTGCTTGGGCCATTGTTTTAAAAAATGGCAGGGTCTTCCTGCACCTCCATAAATTTGTCCCTGCACCCTATTTGAAAATTCCATTTTCGTCTTTTCGGATTATATAATTTGAAAGTTAAAAATATTTTTCGAATTGAGAAATTCATAAGTAAAAATTAAGAAGAAAAAAGCAGTGTTGGGATTATACTTAATTGACTTCTGAATTTCGCAATTCGAAAGTTATCTATAATTTTCAAATTATACAATGCAAAATCCATTTTTATTTTTTAAATTATATAATCCAATAATTATTTTTAACTTTCAAATAACTTCCGAATTAAATAATTCATAAAGGAAAAAAATTTGGTACAAGAATGCAGTGGGAAATTTATGGAGGTGTAAGAAAAAAAAAAAACTGTCGAAGAAAATGTATCACAATTTTTGAGTTGCGCTTCAGTAAAAACATCTTCCTATACACACAAACATCTACACCTTAATGAAGACATCACAATCTATATATTTTCACACACTGGTGCGAATTTAAAGATGGTACGTAAACAATAATAGTAACATAATGGGTCTCATTTACATTCAAATCATTCAATATATATAATATTGAGACAATATCATTACAAAACACATAAGTGCGTCCAAAACTCCAATTTTATAGTAGATCTTGTTGTTTTGTCACCATCTTATTCACAAATAAAAACCATAAAACATGATATCATATGATCATGCGTCTTTATTTTGGTAACTAACCACAGAATTTATGCTTAGACACAAAAGGCAAAAAGCGAAGTTCCAGCAGTATAATTTCCAAGAAACAATCCAAAGCCTATCTTATATCCATTTCCAACATATATGCACCCATCACTGACAGACAAGCCACCGTACACCGATGATCCTGTCTCATACGACCACACAATACTACCAGTCTCAGCGTTAATTGCATAAATAGGTCCTTTGACATCTACGGATCCTGCAAACACAATGCCATTAGCTACAGAAACAGGACCATAAGAAGAGGCATTACTAGGGTTTTCTGTGGACCACAAGATCTTCCCACTCTTTGCCTCCATTGCTACCCACCCTCCACTTCTTGTAGTCTTCTTCGATGGTCTGAGGGTGAAGTTCTTGTGATCAGAATTACCAATGTTAGTATATACCCTTTCTATGTCACTTGCTGCTCCCCATGTTCCACCTCCTGCAACTCCTCCTGGTCCAGCTTCCTATACAAATCAAACTTTTCGATGTCAAGATGATGTAATACAGTTTAATATATATTAATTCCTTAGGTTTTGAGCATTCTTAATATTTAAAACCCTAACCGTGGACCAAATTAGCTTGCCGTCATCACGGTGCAAAGCCCAAGCAAAACCACTCTTTTGCACAGCAACAACAACATCGTGTTTTGTTTTGTTGACATCGATTGTGAGAATGATTGGTGCCTCCCCAAAATCAGCATCTGGGTTAGGACCAGGTGGACAATTAGGTGTTGACAAATTGCTGCATGAAAGAAACCAAACATCGTACCCTCCGAATTGGTGGTACCATTTGATTTTTCCATCATCCAAGTCAAGTGCAAGGATTGAATCAGAGTGATTTTCCGGCTCAACACACTCATCAGGGTGAGTGGGTCGTGTTGCATTATTTTCTTTTTCTTGACATTGACGTATTTCCAAAGGGGCAGAATACAAGTTTCCAGTGGCAATATATACATGGTTCCTTGATGCATCGATGGAAGGGCTACTTCCCCATACAGCTGCTCCAGCATATTCTCCTTTTTTTCCATGATTATCAGGTACCATGAAGGTTTGCCACAAAATAGCACCAGATTTAACATCTAGCTTTGAGAAGCTTCCTCGAAAGGTGCAACATTCTTCAGGTGTCAGAATTTCTTCTTGTGAAGATGTCCCAACATAAAAAGCCCTGTATAGATTTGGAACTTCATGTGCAAGAATATTTTTACATTGATTCTTTTACGGTGGTTTTGTGTGTGTCTGTGATCGTTTTCTTTATGTAAATGACACTTGAAAGTTACTCGTCTGTGTGGCACTTCATCATTCAATCAATTTGAATTTACATGAAAATTTGTTTCTATCATTTTAGATTTGTTTTTTACTATACAAGTCACAACCTACTTATAATATTTTAATATTTACATTATATATCCACCATTGAATTATATTGATTTAACATGGATTCAACTATTAATGGCATAGCAATTGTTAACTTCCAAAGAACTGATGATGTATAATATATATATACTATTTTTCGGAGAGCGCGCCCCGGATAAATTAAATATAATTCAATGATATGGAAAGAAACGTTGAAAAGTGTACACTAATTTGTGAAATACTTTTCACATTCATACAACCAAAAGTCAGTGTTTTTCTTTAGTTGACTTTTCGTGCTTTTATCATTTGGAAACATAGTTATGATTATCTGGTACCATATTTTAATACACAAATCCATATTATTTAACATCTCAACGTCTCAGTAGACTTCCAATACAGTAGAGACGACAAATAAACCAGTCTTCTCGAATTAATACTAATTTTAATGGAAATTTTTTGTATTTACAATAGATAATATTTGATTTTTTAAATTAAGGTTTGGTATCGAGTATGTATCGTGAGACACTTTTATATTCATTTATTATCGCATATAAAGATAAAATAGTTATAAAAGTGAAAGTTTATGTATGTTTTTAAGAAAAGAAAAGTAAAAAGTAGATAAAGATAACGTGAAATGATTGTAAGAAATTTAAGTGTGTGAACTAATATTTTTCAAGTTTGTTGGAACAAAAATCTCGTTATAGAATATGGGTGAAAGGAAAGAACTGACCCGTTGTAGTAGGTTCCAGACATGGTGATAGCACTTGTGTTATGACTGTCCAAACGTGTCTTCCAAACTAACTCTCCAGTTGATCTTTTGAGAGCAATAACAAGTGCAGGACCATATATTCCGACCAACAGAACATCATCGTCTGCTATAGTTGGTGTTGCTCTTGACACAGTCCAGTTAACACCTGGTACAAACCCTGTTGCACTTAGCCCCGTTAGATTCTGCAAGTTCTGCTTCCACACCAGAGATCCATCTCCTGTTCTCACCGCATAAAGCTCTCCATTCCACGATGGAAAGTAGAGTATGCCATCGAAAATAGCTGGAGTTGCAGTTATGTCTTTGCCCGCTTCGAACTTCCACTTCAAACTCAAGTTCGAAACAGTTTCAACGCTGATCTTCTGCTCCATGCTGGCATATCTTCTGTTGTATATATCCCCACCATGGTTTAACCAGTTTTGTGTCTTTTCCTGAAACTACTCAACAATAGTAAATTCAGCCTAAGTAGTCAGTGATTTAAATCAATAGTAGGAAACAAATTAAAGTTAGCATGGCACTGCGCTTACATGAGAAGCTTCGGATAATGAACTTGTTAGTAGGCATATTACAAGCATGGAAATTATAAAACATGTGATTTGCTCGAATTTTGCCATGATGTTATGAAGTTGGATGTGTGTAATTGTAACCTTCAGGACTTTCCAACAGTGTTTGGATTTACCATTTATATATGTATGAAAGTGTAGTTGTTATTTTATTATGATATGACAGGCAGAATAATTTTGTTTCTGAAAATGTTTTTTTTAACACTATATGCATCATTTTGACAATTTATTTTTAGAAGTATTTTTGTGATTAAAGGATAAAGTATGTGTCAAAATAATACTGCCTTTTGTTTTAGTTTACCGTGTCAATGGGGGCGGCATTCATTTTGAGAGGCATTTTGGTTGTGTATAGACATTGGCTTAGTTGTCTCCCTTATTCTTCATAAAAAAAGAGAGGTAAAACATCTTTATAAAAAACAAGCAACTAATGCAATCCTTCCAATTCCTTCTAGATCAATACTTGTATATTGATTGTTTAAAGTAGAGCCTGTTAATTTGATTCTGTCTACCGGACAGGCTCTAACTTATGCTTGGATGGGTCCAATTCGATCTTTCAGCTAGCCCATGCTAACCTATTTCAAATATAAGTATGAATTAACTAGAGCCAACATTCTATCTGAGCTAAAAATTTAACTTAGGTCTACTTATTAAATTCGACGGATTTTTGGCCGATTTTTGGTGAGGATTAATTTGGATGAGTTCGATGAAATTCAATTAAGGATAACTCGATCGAATTTGACCAAATTTTGACTCGAGTTGACTAGGTTAAATTTGATTGATTTTTGACCTGAGACGACAAGATCGAATTTAACCAAATTTTGATCAAGAATGACTCAAGCAAATTTGGCCTTTTTTATTTGGAAAGGGTCAACTCAGCTGAATTCAAACAAATTTCAATGGAGGTTGACTTGGTTGAATTCGATCAACTATTGACTAGCAAGGACTTGGTGGAATTCAACAAAATTTTCGGCTTGAACCAACTCAATCGAAATTATGCCAATGCAGAATCAGTTGAATTTGAAAAATTTTTGACCGAAGTCGACTTAATCAAATTCAAAATGCAGTCTGTTCTTACTTTCCAAATTCACCTAGGGATCAAATTTGATCGAGTTTGACTTGACCGAATTCAACCGAATTTCGTTTGGGTTGTCTTAATGAAGATTTGCCCAAGAAAAACTTGAATAAATTAAGCCAAATTTCGATCATGGCCAACTCGATCAAATTCAGTCAAATTTTGGTTGACACCTACTCAGCTGAATTTGATCAAATTTTGTTTGGGACTGACTTGATCAAACTTATTTCTGGGACAAACTCAGCCAAATTCGATCGAAGTAGACTTGACTAAATTTGGTTAAATTTTTATTAGGATGACTCATCAAATTTGATCAAAGACTGGTCGAATCGATATATGATTTTCATTAAATGAATTGTTTCTAAAAATTAATTAAAGTCTTGTAATAAGATCAAACACACCTTAATTCTAATCCTAATCCATTTGAAAGCAGACTTTAGGGGTTGAAGCTTTTTTTTTTCCTTTGTCAAGTAGAGATTTATAGAGGTTTTTTCAAAGATGAATTAAGAAACACCCATGACCATAGATCAAGCTGATAATTTTAATTTTAATTTAAAGTCATTTTGTTTAAATAACTATCGATTTAAATACTTCTTTAAAGACTACATATGAATTGTTTAGAGAAACAATAACGTTAACGTTTGAATTGTGAAGGAATATGATAGTTATAATTTTGGTATTTTGGATGAGTTATTGTTATTGTCATGTGGATCACCATTAATCGGGATCCCACATAGCAGGACACAACAATTGAACCCATGCTCCGAGCAAAACATGGGAAAATAGAGAGCAACTTTTGTTAGGCTCCATAGAAATATACTGCACAGGGTTTTTCTTCATCATGGAAGACATCATCTTTTCTGCGCAAAGGAATTGAACAACAAATCATGCTGCAAATCGACGCCAATATTAAATGTGCAAGACAACGGCATAATCGAAGGAGCAAAGCTAGAAAGCGTTTTCAAAACCCCTATAAAAGGGAAGGCTTTCCAGCGTTATTTAAAACCCCTATAACTCATTCATTGTTTTTCCGCGAATAAAGGAATCTGGTAATAGTGATTAATGTTGTATGCATTTCTGTCTTTTCACGCTATAATGCAAACTTCTTACTTTATATGGTGATGTTTGCGGTGAAGTCACGATAAGATCATGCTATTTTGTATAAAACTCCAAGTTTGTTCCTCTAAATAAAGAATTAAAGTTTAAAGAACTTTTAAAACCTATCATAGTCAACTTTTAACCACTTGACATGAATTAATATTAGAGATGAGATTTAGACATTGGCCTTTTCTAATTTTGAGAAAGTATTATTTTGATTATGAACATCTATTTTTAATTTGATATGAAAATAAAAATAAATGAGAATGAATAAATATATATTTGTCCTCTTATTTTTATTTACTCACATCTTAAAATTAAAATATTTTAATTAATTAGATAATTTTAAAAACTTTTTTCTATTTTTTTGTCATTTGTTTTATTTTCTTTCAAGATTATTACATAAAAAATTATTTTTTTCTCAATTACTAAAGTCATTTACTTATAAATAAAATTTATTTAAATTTTTAAGAAATTCTTTCTCATCATAATTTTAATTACACGTTTTTTTTATCTTATCTTTTTGAACGAGGTATCGTAATTTAAGAAAGTAACCTCAACATTGATTGAATAAAATTGTTAAACTCTTAAACTATTGAATAACATAAAACATTTATTTTCACTTTTATTTATGATTTTTACTTTTGTTTTTTTATTTAAATAATTATTTTTTCTTACACAATATTTCATTATCTCTTTTAATAATTTAACTTATTTGTATTGAAAATACTTACTTAATACATTTTTTTAATTCAAATATATCTTCCTTAACTTTGTTTGGAATATTAGTTGGTTTTTTGTTATCTTTAAATAATTTGAACTATCTCTCTGCATGAGTTTTTAAATTGTCTGGATGTCGTTTACAAAATCCTTTAACAGGTTCGGGATAAAACGAAATTGTAAATACTACATTTAAAAAAGATTAACATTTTTAACTATGGTTCTTACCATCATAATCGTTGTTTATCAATTGTAACGAGGATTATGGTCATGCTCATTATTATTTGGTAGTTCTATTTAGTTTTATTTTTATTTTTTTGATATTGTATTATGTTACTGAATCGTCATTATAAATATTTTTCATTTTTATTTTATCTATTTCTTAATTCTTATTTGACAATGAAATTTCTATACGTCGTGGTTTTTAAAATATAACAACAAACTTAATAGTTATTGTCATTGATAGACCTTTAATATGATTCAAGAGTAGGATAGATAGTCAATTTTAACCGTCATAAAAAAAGTTTTCTACAAAAAAGTGTCACTAATTTTGTTTTATATATTTTGTGATGACTTTTATAATTATACTATTTTTGACAAATTGTTGATATAACATATGTTCATTTAGGTCATTTTGTTATAAAATCTCTCGGATATTTACTCATTCACATTCATTACAATCCGTAACTTTTTATCACAAAATTTGTTATTTATAATTGATGAAAACATGATTTTTTTAGCGTGCTAATCTTTGTATTTTCAACACTTCTTCAAAATTCAAATGTGAAATTATAGTAATTTATTTCCTGTGGAACCATGTAGACAATCCAAGCAAAGTGCCAAACACACATTAATGTTAGTATTGACCTTCACCATATTTACTAAAAAAATTTCCGTACTCACACACAAGCTCACCAATTTATAATTGACCTGATTGAGTTAGGCATGAACTGACTTTTTAAAGATATTTTCAAAATAAAAAAAATATTTTTTAAAATTTAAACTATTTTTTGTGTATGGCATAAATTGTATAATTTTCTAATAATTAAAAAAATAATATGAAATAAATTATGTTGAATTGATTTTGTTTAATGAAATGTTAATGAGATATTAATCCATGGAGTTTTAAATTCGTATAATGTATTAATTGTAACATCCCAAAAATACAGTTTAAAACTATATAATAGAATAATCACATTTAATGATATTACAGCTCAGTCTTACATTAATAGAGAAAGTACGCTTGTAACCGAACGGCCTTACAGAAAAACAAGAAATTCAAAGCTGTATAGGGATGCAATTCTGACCGAACAGTTTACAAAAGAATCATACCGAATGGTCCTGCAAAAGAAAAGGGAAAAGGTGATCGAACGATCTCCTTACTATCAAACTATAATACTGACCGAACGATTCTACTGTTCGGTCGTAACTTCTACCTCGACTAAGTTATCTTCTTCCAGCAGCTCGTCTCCTTCTGCTCACATCCACATGGATGATCATTGCAACGGAAAGACAACCGAACGTACAAAAAGAGACAAGACAGGAAGACATAGGGTAAGCTTATGTAATTCAATTCATGTATAAGCATATATTTCAAAAAATCAACCAAACAAGATAATTCATCACTCGTTCATGCAAAGCCATACTACACTCTGACTGTCCAGACTGTATGAATTCTGTGTAGCTACGACGTTCGTGCACCCGGGTGATGTAGTAATTGGGATACCCTCAACAGCTGCCACCCGAGGTTAGTCCTATGTGTCCAAATTAACCATAAGGACTAGGACCTCCTGTCATTCCCACACATGACTTACCCTACTCTACGTGAGGACGAGTAATCACGGAACATCAGGATGAACCGCCAGCTTAGCATGCCCACATTCATACTTTACCAAATTCCAATATCCATTCATGAGATATTCCTGCCCGAAATACTCGTTCATAATCATACTCGTTTCATCTACATCATATTCCATAATCTTTCATTTTCAAACTTCAATTTTAACGAAGATCCCTTAGGATACCAAATACCGAACGTACACCCTCAACCCCGACCGAGACCTAACACTTGGAGCAAGAACGAGGGGTCTCCAGTTCCAAAACAGATTAAGATCGATGGGGTTACTATCGGGTGGAGAAAGAAGCCGAGTACAATCATATTTCACAAGAACGAATAGAAACAAATGTGATTTACAAAGTGAGCCAATTTAATAAGACTCTTGAGAGTTCAAATCGAACACCGAAAAGCCCAGGCCAAGTAGCAAGACTCTAGGCCGAAACCAATGGAGACAAACACTGCAAGACGTTCAAAGGGTAGTACTTAAAAGAATTATATGAAGAAACCGAACGCTTATAAATACTTAGATTATTTGAGTTTAACATCAAAAAAATCGAATGCCAGTCAAAGACCAAGCACGATAGAGAGTGAACACTATTGAGTTTGGACGAACGCTATTATTATCAAGATAGATTACGGAAAAGAGAACAAGCACTTGGTGTAAGACCTAGCATTAAATCGTACGAGCGCTTGGTGAAAGACCTACATTAAATAATACGAGCGTTTGGTGAAAGACCTAGCACAGAATAGTACGAGCGCTTGGTGAATATAATATATCATTTGACTAATGTTCAAGAACGAACGGACATACTACTACACAAATATACTTAAATTTATATTAGAATACCAAGGAACGAATATCCTTGGTGGAACGCCTGTACACAAATTGTACTAGATGAAGACGTTCGTCCTCAACATAAATTCCTTCCAAATGAAAGAATCCAGTTCTAAACGAGTCCCCGAGAAAAACCGAACGGTCAAAGACCATTCAGTAACGAACATACATTATCATAGGGAATTTCATACTTAGAATTATTTATCTTCAAAATTTCATACATCCATATCATAGTAAATTTCCATACTTCATACAATCAGAACATAGCAACAATCATATTTCATATTAATTCAGCAACTCAACGAACGTACATGCAATACAAGCAACATACAAATTAAATTATATAAGCTTCCCTTACCTCTAATGTGACCGAACGCTCACAGCTTGTATAGAATAGCTCACCACCAGAAATCTTAGGATCTACGGTTTACGCTTTATGAAACTAAACCAAACAAGGCCAGAAAGGTGCTCAGAATGAGATGATAAACTCATGCAACCAGAACTTGGCTTGCATGTGTCAGAAAACGTACTACTAAGCGAAGAGAAAAACTTACCATTTCAGAACTCAAAACCGATCGGTTCAAACTGCAGCTCTTGACACCGGAGAAGTAGAAATGGTGCCTGGGTGATGATCGGAGGAAGAAACAATGAGGCTTTCTTAGAGAGAAGATGAAGGAGATGTAGAGAGAAAGAGGAGAGAATGGAGTTTTTCAGAAATTTGGGAAGGAGTGTGCATGCAGAGAGTGGCGTGAAATTCTGAAAATAAGAGTTTTCTTTCCAACGTCAAACGAACGTCCACTCAGTTGCTTACACCTGCCTTCCACCATCTGAGTGTCGAACCCTCCTCTTGACACGTGAACTCCACTAAAACGAACCCTGAGTGAATTTGTAATGGTTCTGACATTAATCAAAGTGTTTCTTTTTAATAATTGATAAATTGAAATACACTTTACGTGGATTAGATGGATCATGGACAAAAATTTTCTATTTAAATACTTTATATATTTTAATTTCATTAATCTCTTAATATAACAAGTCCCATTTGGTTATATGCTATCATTTATCCGATAACATTAACATAAAAGACTTTACTTTCAAACAAAAAAAAACGCACCACTATTGTTTTCCTTATATTCGCAATAGTCTCTTCGAAACAAGTTTCTCAAACATATATCTTGAAAATTGACTCAGCATCTACAGGTTCAATCATGCCACTACCATGCAACATGCACTTGTATCTTTGTCTGATGTTATTATATATCCATTCAGTAGTGGTCTTTGCAGCAAAATCTGATGTATGATATATAGTAACCCTCATTATATCGTTCGTGTACATATAGTTTTAAGGACTACTCATGAATTTTTGCGTTGGTTTTAGGTAGCAAGACACCAATCACAAGGCTGGTTAAACCATGGTGGAGATTTGTTCAACCGAAGACATGCTTCCAAGGAGCGTAAGATCAGTCCCAAAACTGCCCCAGACCTACGTATGAAGTGGAAATTCTATGCTGGCAGAGACATCACTGCAACACCAGCCATATATGATGGTACCCTTTATTTTCCAAGCTGGAATGGTAACATCTATGCAGTTAAAGAAGCTGATGGATCGCTTGTTTGGAAGCAGAACTTGGACAAATTGACAGGTCTGAAAGCACCCGAAGGCCTTGTTAATAACGTAAATTGGACAGTGTCACGCTCAACTCCTACAGTGGCCGGTGATTTAATGATTTTTGGAATGTATGGTCCTGCTGCTGTTATTGCTGTCAAAAGAGCAACAGGTAAGCTTGTGTGGAAGACCATTTTGGATTACCATCCTAAAGCACTCGTCACCATGTCAGGAACATATTACAAAAGGTCACTATTTGCGCATCTATTTGCCTTATTTTCTTAGTGGTAATGTTATAAAATTTGTTTATGCTCAACCCTCTTCAGAGGTTACTACGTTGGATCATCTTCCTTGGAGTCACTTGTAACCCTTGATGAGTGCTGCACGTTTCGTGGAAGTTTTGTAAAACTTGATTCTGAATCCGGTGACATCTTGTGGAGGACCTATACGATACCAGATAACAATAACAGAAAAGGAGGATATGCAGGAGCTGCCGTTTGGGGAAGTAGTCCTTCCATTGATGAGAAAAGAAACCATGTCTATATTGGCACAGGGAGCCTATATGCTGCCCCATTACGGATACGCCAGTGTCGAGAGAGACAAATTAATCGAACTCAGCCTACTCAACCAGATGAGTGTGTTGAGCCAGACAACCACTCGGACTCAATCTTAGCCCTTGATTTGGATGATGGGAAGATCAAATGGTACCAGCAGTGTGGAGGCTACGATGTGTCAATCTTAGTATGCAGCGCTTCTCCCACACCTGGTCCTGATTGTCCTCCTCAAGCAGACGAACCAGATGTTGATTTTGGTGAGGCACCTGTGATGTTGACCGTATATATAAACCGGATCGAGAGAGATATTGTTGTTGCAGTCCAGAAAAGTGGCATAGCATGGGCTTTTGATCGCAATGATGGTCACCTCGTTTGGCTTACGGTAATACATAATTTATAGTATGATAGTTTTCTATTTTCATCTCTCCCACCCTTTTCAACGAACAGTTGGTGGATATCTCTGTATCAGTTGAAAAGTTTATTCATTTTCTTTTGTAGGAAGCTGGGCCATATGGGTTGGCAGGAGGTGGATCATGGGGTGCAGCAACTGATGAAAAGAGGGTTTACACGAACATTGTGAATTCTGATGCCCAAAATTTCACGCTCAGACCCTCAAATAAGATTACAACTGCGGGTGGGTGGGTGGCAATGGAGGCTAACAATGGTAGAGTTCTGTGGTCAACAGCAAACCCAGCTAACAGCACTGCTTATGGCCCTGTCAGTGTTGCAAACGGTGTTGTCTTTGCTGGATCCGCTGATAGAATGGGATACATATATGCAATTGATGGAAAGAGTGGGAAAATTTTATGGTGGTATAAAACTGGAGCTAGTGTCTATGGAGGCATGTCAATCAACAAAGGTTGCATCTATGTCGGCCATGGATACAATGCTGCTTATGGGTATACCTTGAACTTAACAGAGGGAAAGTTTCTGTTTGCTTTCTGTGTCTAAGAAGTTGCATCGTTGTATTACTTTTATTTTAAGGAATAATTCAGTTCTTTAGCTTTTTGTAAAAAAGGTGTTAAAAGTTTTCTATCTCTTTCAAAAAAATATGTGATAATCATAAATGGATTATTAATAAAACGAAAACTAGCATATATTTTCCTCTGTTTTTAGCGTAGTTTTAAACATTTATTTATGCATCGTTAATTTTATTTTCTTACTCAAATTATGATGACATAATACAATTTAGTCAAATTAACAACTCTGCTGATAATGTGAATTTTTAATTACCGTATCATCCCTTATCAAAGGTCGAATAAGAACTGCAATTGGTCTATTTACTGAACAGGGGACTAAAATATCCAAACTTCAATTAGGCACTGGAAGCGAATATTACATCTTTAATAATAACTTCGATTGTTCAAAGTCAATTTCACACTAAAAATAATTAATAAACATTAAGTGTTATATTAAAAATAATATTGTAATATTTCAAATTATTAATTATAAAAACAAATCTAAAAAAACCAGTTAAAATTTTTTTATTAGTCATAAAAGAAATATTTTTATTTAAAAAAAATCTATTATATAAATTTATATTATTTTAATTATAAATTAATTGTTCTTAAGATACTCTATAGCGTTCTTCAATAAATATTTATAAATGATGTAACATACCAATAGTTTTTGGTACAGATATACTGTTTATTCATCCATTACAATACTAAAAATAACATTAATGACTTCAGACACAGAAGGCAAAGAGTGAAGTTCCACCAGTTAAGTTTGTGGCAAACCCTAGATTTACATTATATCCATGACCCACATATATGCAACCGTTGCTAATTGACATGCCTCCATAAACACTGGCTCCTGTTTTGTAAGACCACAAAATCTTCCCACTCTTTGCATTAATTGCATAAATGGATCCCATTCTATCAGTTGATCCAGCAAATACAACTTCATTTGCAACACTAACAGGACCATTAGCAGTGCTGTTACTAGGGTTTGCTGTGGACCATAGAATGTTACCTTTGTTTGAATCCATTGCCACCCACCCTCCAGTGGTTGTAGTTATATTTAATGGTGAAAGAGTAAAATTTTTGGCCCCAGAGTTTGCAATATTGGTGTAAACTCTCCTTTCATCGGTTGCTGCACCCCACGTTCCACCTCCTGCAAACCCACCGGGTCCAGCTTCCTGCACAGTATGAGTTTCTTTATCAGTTAAAAAGAAATAACAAAAGGTACAAGAAGTGATACAAACTTAAACTTTGGGAATAATCATAGGTTTAACAAAGTGAGTTAAATGCAATTAGTAATGAGTTTGAAGAACAATCAAAATCACATTAGGGTGTGATCACAGGCATTGGTTTTTAAAGAAATTCTGTACACTTTTCCAAGTAATGGATTTCGATCTTCTAAACTTTATAAATTATATTACAAATTTCATATATTGTTGCTGTAGAGTATGTATAAGCTTTATCAAAAGTGAAAATTTAATAAATTTATATATCAAATAACTTGTATATTTATGGAAATTATCTACTGTGTACCGTAAACCAAATGAGACTGCCATTGTTGCGGTCTAAAGCCCAAGCAAAGCCACTTTTCTGAACAGCGACAACCATATCTTTTTTGGAACCATTTACATATGTTGTCAGCATCATTGGTGCCTCTCCAAAATCAGCATCTGGGGTAGGACCTGAAGGAGGACAATTAGGAGTTGAAGCATTGGTGCATGCAAAAAACCACACATCATAGCCTCCTAATTGGCGATACCATGTAATGTTCCCAGAGTTCAAATCAAGGGCCAAGATCGAATTGGAGTGATTTTCTGGTTCAACACACTCATCTGGTTGAGTAGGCTTGGTTTGATTCTTTTGTCTTTCTTGACATTGAAGTATGTGTGATGGGGCAGAATAGAGGTTTCCAGTAGCAATATAGATATGGTTTCTATAAACATCAATGGAAGGGCTGCTTCCCCAAATGGCAGCGCCTGCATAATTTCCTCTAGTGTTATTGTTATCTGGTAGTACATAGGTCTTCCACAAGATGGCACCAGATTGAGCATCAAGTTTTGTTAAACTTCCACGAAATACACAGCATTGTTCAATGGTTGCGCCTTCTTCAAGTGAAGATGTTCCAACATAGTAACTCCTGTGGCGAATTCAGAACAGGTGCACAGTACACAAAATGGAAAGGTCGAAACAAGTAATTCAGAGGACTACTGAAAAATTCACTATAATAGGTGTGGATTTGAGTAATATGCATGGAGTTGAGGATTTGAGAAATATGCATGGAGTTTTATGTTCAAAACTCTTTGATGTACAAAGTTTGGGTTTGAAATTTGTTTAGTAAGGTTCGTGGTTTGTATTTTTTGTGTCTTGGATATCTTTAGTTTTGAGGTTTGTGTACCTTCTTGTTGTGGGTTCATGGCCTTCTAATTTGGATGTTGGCTGTGGGGTTTGCCTAGTAGTCGGATCAATTGTGAGCAAAAGTTGCAAATGTGGTGATGTTTCTGTCATGTTTGTCTCTGGTTTTCTAAGTGTCTTGTCGAATGAAATTGGTATGGTGTCGGATGTGGTGAGTGGCAACATTATATTTTCGCCCTGTCTGGTTTCTTGTCAGCTCTTGTGTTGGGTTGTTGACTGGTGTGACTCTTGTGGTAATGCTGGTTGGGTGGTGTATCGGTGTGTTGTTTAATTCTATTGGCTGATTGGTGTTTTGGTATATACAAACCAAAGCAGAGTAAAAGATTGCAGTGTACTGGTCCTATGATGCTAGCTTTTATAATGAAATTTTGTGCCATAAAATTTATGTAATTTGTAGGTTACTAGCAATGTTGAGTGGTAAGGAGGTGGAAGCTTGTAAGTGTATAGCAGCATCATGAGCTAGCTAAGGGTAGACCAGGGGAAGATGTATGCAGCAATACATCAACACTTCTTCTGTATCAACCACCACATTTGAGGTCATTACCACTTTTTTGGTACATTTATTGTTAGTTCATGCATATACTTTGCACTCATTCAACCTATCAAAAGAAAAATCTTATATTTGTTCCACTACCTACTTTCTAGGACACTGCCTCCTCAAACCAGCTTAATTGATATCAGATTCATACTTTATAGTACAATCCCTTTTTTATTCTTTTCTCAAACCCTCATATTTGAATTCCAATACCTTCTTCCATAGGCTTTTATTTTCAATAGCTAATATCCACTTCAACTTTGAAAACGAAATCTTCTTTAAACAGTTTAACATCTTTAACTCCTATAATTCCCCATTTTACTTAGGCTTATATTTTGTATCCAAGCTTAATTGATTCTCCCATCACTTCCCAACTCCATAAGATTTCCCTTTGAGGTCTCTAACCTCCTTCACTATCGAGGGAGTCACTCTAAATAAGTATAGGAAAACTAAGGTATCAGACTTTCCCTTCAGACAGAGGACAATTTCCTCCTCTTCTGTCAAAACATCCTCTTTTTGGTTATTAAAATTTTCGTTTATTTTTATCCTTTCTAAACTAATGAAATTCATTATTAATACGTAAAGTCAGAAGACAACCTCAAAAAAGAATAAATTGTCTCAGCTACTCTGTACACATATAAACAATGAAATCACTTGTGCATCCTTTCTTTAATTAGAATAAAATTTCATTAAAAATAATATTTTTAAACTAATGGAACGAGAGCGAGCAAGAAATAAGAAAGATGCTTCTACTCCAAACCATATATAGATGACAGAGCACAAGAAGTCTAAGATTTTCTAATCAGAATGAATTTGTGAAAAACACCCAAAATAGAATGAGGTGTACAGAACATATGTACCGAATTTAATTTATAAGTGGGAGATTGGACAGAGAAATCAGAAAAACGGCTAAGAAAAGAAGGCAAGAAGATATGAAGTTGTAGACTGACCCGTCGTAAAATGTCCCAGACATGGTGATGAGTGCTGCAGGATGATTATCCAAAGTGGTCTTCCACACAAGTTCACCATTTGTTCTTCTGACACCAATAACAATGGCAGGGCCATAGATTCCAACAATCAATAAATCCCCAGCAACAGTGGGAGTTGACCTTGACACTGTCCAATTTACATTCTGAACAAAGCCAGTTGCTTTTAAACCTGTCAGAATCTGCAAGTTCTGCTTCCAAACAAGAGATCCATCGCCTTCTTTAACTGCGTAGATGTTACCATTCCAGCTTGGAAAATAAAGGGTACCATCATATATGGCTGGTGTTGCAGTAATATCTTTGCCTGCATAGAATTTCCACTTCAAACGTAGGTTCGCTGCTGTTTCTGGACTGATCTTACGCTCTTTGTAAGCATATCTCCTGTTTAACAAATCTCCACCATGGTTTAACCAGTCTTTTGACTCTTGTCCTTGCCACTAGAAACAAAAAACCAATAATCAGAACAATATATGTCTTGTGATTAATTTTAATTCATGAGTAATCCTTAAAACTATATATGCAAGTTCTACATTATAGACTTAAACGATGGTGGTAATGGGTATTATACATCTGAAGTTGCTGCAAACACTGCTACTGCATAAGCACAAACCAACAGTGAAAAATGAACTGAATGCATTCTGTATTTAGGCAGAGGAATTGGCAAGATATGTTGGGAAAATTAGCAGAAAGACACTCAATTATATGGAAAACAAAAAAAATGGCACAAGTCTTCATGATGACACGTACGATCTAAAGTTCGTTGACTTTGACTTTAATGCCTGATAAAATAATGATAGCGTTTATCTTCCCTTGTAGAAAACCCTATTTTCATAACTATTTCTATTATTAGACAAAAAAGATAAATATTAAATTATGCATGGGATATTGAAACAAAGAAAAATAAATTAGGGAAAACGTTGTACATCGTACTTTATAATTCTTTTTTTTAGTGCCGATAAAAAAAATAATCTATTTTTAGTACTTTTTTTTTAAATTATACAGAATAAAAAGATGATATGTCAGTCTTTATTTGTAAGGAAATCATAATTTAAGAAACTTTATATATTAATGTAATTTACAGGAACAAGATCGATGACCAAAATCTAAATTGACAATGTTTGAGTTGAAAAAAGTACACCGACAATGTTTTCTTTTGCTTCACGTATAAAGTTATGTAACGATGACATGCTCATCTAAATCCAAGATGAATAAATAATGAGAAAGACCAAAGTTTCAAGGAGAACATTTTTAAGTTCTCTAGTATCTGGCGTATAAGAATGGAACATCTCTCCTTACAAAAGTCAACAAACGTAATTAATTATATGGATTGGTGAATATATTATCTATTTAAATGTTTCGTGCATCACTTTTTATGTATTTAAAAAGTTTAAATTAGTTAAGTTTTTTTTCTTTTACTTAAAATGAGTTGAGATGGCCTTTTAAGTCAAAAGTCAAAAGAGAGTGTAAATTTTGTATAGTTTAGAAAATATAAAACGGATGTAAAATTAATTGGGATATTCATTTAGTTGTTACAGTAAAATTATGATTTCTGTTTAGTTTATGATTGAATCAGATTGAAATTTTGACAAGTTTATTTTTTTTTTGTGTAGTGTGTCTTTTTTATTTTGATCCATAAGATAGTTAAGTTGAGATATGTGGTTAAAGAACTCGATTTCTTTTTTATTTTAGGGTGTTTTTCTTATTATTTATATTTAACAATATTATTATTGGCTGGTTGTTCACAATTCTTGTATTTGTAAAAATTAATTGACTGATTTATATATGTAAATTTTAGTTTTTTTCACAATAAAAATATTGGTGTTCACTTTTTATAATTATTAATATAATTTTTGGTTTTGCTCACATTCTATTGAATTTGAAAAAATGATTTTTATTGCCTACTTTGATATTTTATATTAACATTATGAAAAATAAAGTGTAGAGAGAGGGAAAGTAGCTTAATGGATGTATTGATTATCACGTTGTGCCGAGAATTATAGACTTAATGGATCAAGCTTTGTGTGATTCATAAGAGATATAATTTCAACGCAAAATTCATTAAATGAATAAAATCATAACACTTAGCATTGGAAAATGAACATTTATCTATTTAGGGATCGTTAGCTTTATTTGACCAGTCAATCTAATTCTAGTAACTATAGTGTGCCTAACATTGCAGACTGTAAGTAATATAAACTAAAGAAAACAAATTGCATATTTAGCTTTAAGTATAGGATTTGGTTACTAATAGATTAAATCATTAAAACTAACGCCGAAAGATTGAAAAACAATGTTAAAGGGAATCAAAGAAACTCTACAAGAATCCTGCCAAACTTTGCAATGGTCATGGCACTGTTGCAGATGAGTAACAACTTGCCCGTAATATAACTATATCGATCTATCACAGTTAATTATACATAACATCCATCAGTAAAAGATAAATAAAATCTACGAAACTCGGAGGTTTCAACCGGAAGTCGTTTCCCTCTTCCGACGAGCCGCCAAAAGGATCACACTGTGGGTGCATAATGTAGTAATTTCTGTAATAGGATGCTTATAGATATGAGCAGTTACTGAGTATTACAAAAATGGCACGAAATTTTGTTTTTGATAAGACAAATATATATTGATGAAATGGCATGGAATAACTAGATTGTAGGGAGACAACATTCATTTCTACGTTCTTTTTTGTTCTAAACTTAATCCCTAGTTAGTGGGGTGCTACTTTGACCTGAAAGAATAGGATCTTAGACCTTTGCCACGTCAAAGAGGAAGAGAGAGCTAGTGATGCGTGTTCATTTCTGGAACATAGCGGTTGATCTGATTTGTGACATTCTTGGAGAAAGAAAATGGCAATGGTGGTTGGAGAAGAATGAAGTTTCCAGCCTCGGAAGTTTTAGAGGCCAAACTTTTTAAGTAGCCTGTTAAGCATCCTTTCCCGTTCTGGTTCAAGGGACTAGGCGAAGCCAATTGAAGATGTTCCCCAAGTTTTAAGTTCAACCCTGAACCAAGACCATATTCTGTTACCTCTTGTTTATCAACGTTTGATCCACGTTCCACTATTGATGAAACTGCAGCAGCTATTACTGAACGAAAACTCGGATCTGTGCTGATTGCTTTGGTTATTGTTTCTGCCAAAGCTTCTCTGGAAGGAGTTTGGTTTGTTGTGCATTGTTGGTAGAAATGTTGTTGGAAATTATTTGGCTGCGTAATTGGCCTTGTGGGGGCTTTGTCAATTGCTGTTGTGGTTGTGGCATTATCGTGGAACCCCTTACCCCAAATGGATGGTATGAAGTTATGCTCCGGTGAACAAAAGCTGAGACTAGCTGAGGATCTTGGGTTTGAAACTGGAGCCATGGTTGAAGTTAAGCCACGATGGAATTGAGTTGATGAGGAGGAAGGAGCTGAAGAAGTAAGGTCTAGAGTGATTGTTGAGAACACGTGTGGTGAGGCATGGTTTGATGGTGAGAAGATTTGTTTGGCTCTTGATTCACTAAACTGGTCACTGAAACTTAGACCATTTCCAAAAGATGCTGAGATGTGGCTTGAAGATGTTGAAGAACCTGACAGTAGCATGGATGCAGCAGCAGAAGTGGTTGAAGCCATGGCTGTGGCTGAGACAGGAAGTGGGTGGTTATGGGTTCCTTCATAGGTTGTGATTAAGATGGACAGGTCCTGGGAACACCTTTGTACCTGAAATGCATTAAATTTGGGTTTTGTTATTCAATAATACATCTGAAACATATTCAATTAGTATACAACAATGCTAAAGCACATATATGAGCTTGTATGTTTTTACACTGATATATATATATATATATATATTCTCGATGAAAGTGCACTATTTTCATATTATCTTTTTCATTGATGTATGGACATTGAGTGGATTCTTAATTGATGTTTATGTAAATATTTTAAATTTATAATGCATACACTTTAAACTATATATATACCTGTTTCCTAACTGGGCACGTTGGTGCAACTGTGCAACGATAGTATGCCCTCGGGCATGGATTTCCCTTTGCTATCTTCTGTCCATACTTCCTCCACTGACACCCATCATTCATCTGTTTGAAAAGCACAAGGTTAGCTATTAGACAACAAAAATAACAAAAGTATATTAAAATCAAATAGATTACAAGAATGAAAATATAAGGGTGCAGTATTGTTTTCACAAATACTAAGAAAAACATCACTTTCATTTTTCTTTGATATGTTCTAAAAAAATTATTGTTTTTATTTTGAAAACAATTAAAAACAAAGTAATATTTTTATGACTATTTATCAAACAGAAGGTAAACACAAAACATTTTCTTTGATACTAACCGTGGGAGTATCACATCTAGCTCTCACAGATACCCTTGCTCTCTTGGCTGGCATTTGATCTGAAATGTCGGTATTTACATTTATCACTTTTGCTGATTGACTTGTTGACAGTGTTCCCTCCCTTTCCGTTTCCTTTGGTTCTTCTGAGCTGTTCATCGGACTCAAATCAGACACAATCTCCATCTCCAACAAGTGTTTGGAGTCTAATCCAAGAGTAAGGTTGGGTCCAACATTTTCTTCTGTCGGTTTGTCAAAGTCTGCAATTCTTGCCTCCTTCTTAGGCTCCGTTGGACTCCTTCCAAGGCAAAGTGAGACAAACTCAGGCTCTTCGCTCTGATCATCATGGGAAGTAACCACACCCTTCTTTGGAACATCTTTGTGAAGGATGTCAAAGAAACGGAGTTGAAGGGATTGGTAATCCTTTTCTACTCTTTCCAGCGTCTTCTTCAATCTCTCATTTTCTTCCTTCACCTCACCCATCTCAGTTTTAGCAGATTTTACTTTATCTTCCTAGATTTCAAAACAACGATAATTAAAATAATCAGCCATTTCATCCCTCAATTTATCATCCACACAGACTCAACATAGCACAAGACAAAAGTACTTTTCAAAGACAACCAATAAATTTAAAATTCAACAAACTTAGGTTTATATTTCATTATTTACAGTGACATATATATATATATATATATATATATATATATATATATATATATTCATGCCAAACTACTGTGTGGTCTGTTCATACAATGGTTGGTCTATTTGAGGTCTACATAACAAGAACAGAAAACCTCTCTAGATTTTCATATAACTCTGAGCAAAAAGTTAATTTATTGATTCATATGATGTAAAGAAATATCCTGAGACTGAAAAAGATATATACAATCAAAGTTAAAGGATATTCATGAGTGCAAGATAAAGAAAAATTATTAAAAAGTAGTAGTTTTCACAAGAAGAAAGAATTGGGAAGGAAAAGGAGAAGCATATATATATATACCTGTGTAACTCTCTTCTCTTCTATCTCTGGATTACTAGGGCTAGACATTTTTTGCTTCAAATAGTACTATTTCTCTGACTGGTAGAACACCCTCAAACTCACACAGATATAAATGCCATAAATACACAACACACGCTTTATATATTACAAACCAATCGACTATAAAAGTTAGACACGGTATAAAGACACTTAAAGAAATACAAATCCCAGAGCTCTCTAAGCCCCCTTCAAATGTCAACACCGAATTGCTAAGATAATTTGTTGGAGTTTTTTTTTTAATTATTGAAAGGTTAAATTAATTAATTAATTAGTCTACCAAATGTGAGTCATAAATGATGCTGGAAAGGAGAAATTTGACACACAAATTGTGCGTTGATTAATATTATGTTGAAGCTTGGTGGTGGTGAGAAGACGTCACATGGGTATGTGGTCAAAGTTGTAAGATGTAACCAGTTATTAGCCATGGCGGCGAGTGAGACCTCTGAATATTTGTCAATGGTGAAGCCTTATTACGCGGTCCATACGCTGCATGGTTGTAAACTATTGCTCTGCTGTCCACTCCCATTGACTGGCTTTCCATCAAAGCATCGCCACAACACGATGAACAATTCCAATATAGAAATATGCTTTTTTAAATCCTTTATGTTCAAATTGATTAAACAATTAATTCTCTTTATCATCTTCATCTTTTCCACGCCCTTGGAATGTTTAAGAGTTACTTTGTTAGGTAGACCTATTATGTTTAGGAGTTATTTCATTTAAACTGAATTATTGTTTGGAGGGATAACACAAATATATCTCCATAGATACTGAACTAAGCTTTTATAAATTTGTTTTTGATATTATTTTAAAAAAAAATTTATCAAATTGAGATATTTATGTATATATAAATTCATATTCATCTCTTGTTTTATTTATGTGTGACTTTTGTTTATATTCTAACAACTGTAACCTTTACAATACAAACACAAAATATACATGTGCATTACTCATTTCATCCTTTCAGGTAAACAAACTTCATTATTCGGTTTTTATACTATATACAATCAAAGAACCATTACTATTTCAATTTTAGTTTGTAAACCAGCTCTTTTTGTATAAAAGTAATATATACCAAACATGACGAAATCAGTTTCAAAGGTTGCTAATTAACAAGGGTCACAGCACAACTGCAAAATAATATTTAGTTTTGAGTTGTTAAATTACGTACTGTCATTGTTACATGTGAAGTTGTTCTTTCCAATCAAACATTGTATGTCTATCGGTGCATTACAAAGAAGCTACTTATTTATATTATTTTTGTAAAACAACGTCAATGTTTGGTTAACTAGATGCTTTTTAAACTAAGACAAACCTCAAGATGTACGTCTCGGGATCTGATACCTATTACCTTTCAATTGTTTTAGATACAGTCAACGTCAAAAGCGAAAGATAGACGTGTATTTTATACAAGACAATGTTATATATAGGTCATGTAATAATATACTAACAGAAGAAAGATAAACAAAAGAAATATTATTGATGAAAGAAAGATAAAGTTATGGTGTGTGTATATATGAATATAATTATTGCAAGTGTCGTTTGAAACATATTAGAAAATAATCTGGATATGTTATAAAAACTCGTAATGGTGTCAACGTGACGATTAATAAGTTCATGGTGTGAATGCATACAAGTATGCATCAGTTAACTGTTACGTAACTCCATGCGTTTTTTAGGGTTGATTAGATTAAATAACTGAGAGAGTGGAATATTAATTAAGCCCCAATATTAATTTCAATCATGTGGGCATAGGATATTAATAAAGATGCCTCTTCGAAATATTCCCTTTTTATATTATGCAGTTTTAATTTATATGATTCGTTCAAAGCCAAGGGTCAACCAGTATTACTTGTCAAAGGGTTAGCATGTCCTTCTGCACCTTTTCACTCGTCTTAAGTTATTATTAGTGATGATCTTAATAGGCTAATAAGCTACCCTAACCCCTCTTTTCCATGACCTATTCCATGTTTGAATATGGTCCCATAATTGTTTTGTTCTGTTTCAATCCAAAATAATGAACCTTTTATTAATGTTCATCTAACACACTAACGTTTAAGTGCCATTACATGCAAGGCAAAAGACACCCATGTAAGGAGTCAATTAGTATTTCTTGTAAGAGTTAAGTATGATTTAATTTAACAATCATAACTTTTTCTTACATATGTTAAGTGATATTTTAAGTTTACATTTAAATTAAAATATATTTGTTTCGGATGTGAGGACGAGTCACTACTAACACCTGCATAATTTCTTCTGAGATGTCGTTCGGTATCTGTTCTTCTAGTTTTTCTCTCCGTTCCATCGTTCGGAAGTGTATCTGCCAAATGTTTTCGGATGCCTAACTCAGTTGACTGTTCGTACGGGGTTTAATGTAATAGTAATAAATGTGTTGTTCCACCGTTCGGAGGTGTACCTGTCAAAGGTGATGCCTAAGTCAGTTGACTGTCCGGGAGTTCAATGTAATACTAATATAAATGTGTAGTAAATGTGAATTTCTACCTCTTACTGTTTAGATTAGTAAAGTCTTAATTACGACTCAATCTCAACTCAATACCTCTAAGTATCATTTACCTTAATTTTTGTAGGAAAACTTTATTATTGACTTAGACCGGACGTTCTACTCCTGGATTTTTGCCACGTTCAGTCACTGCTCGACTGCGTCTTGCTCTTCAGAGCCACCCGATTGGTTTGATTATGGGTTACCGTATGATCGTCCGGACCATATGGTATAATATCGAATGATGTAAATATCTTAAATATTAGTCTAGAACAACATTTAACATAATTACCACCGTTCAATTAAAAATACTATATTTATTTATTTCTAAAATTTAGAGATAAAAAATGTATCAAAGTTGAATTCAGAATTCTAAGGGATTGTGGTGTCATTAAGTGATATACATGGTCATTTAAAAAAAAAATACAAACACTCAATCACAAAGTATAAACCTTAAAACTCCCAGAAAAAAGGTAGAAGAGGATTTTACAGAATCGTTGAAGTAGGTTTTGAGTGTATACCGCATTTTTTCACTTTTTATAGAGTTAGTAACTTTTAAAACATTTAAATATATTAAATTTGAATAAAATAATTTAAATTTATTAGATTTTTCATTAAATATTTCAGTTCCCATCAAATATAAATTTTTTATTTAAATATTAAATAATTATTAATAAGTTTAAAATATCAATTAATAACTTTTAATCGATATTTGTTATGTTAACTTCTAGTTAAAGTCTAGCAAGTTTTTACTCGTGATATTGACAAGGATTTTTTTTTCAATTAACATTGGTTGAAATTGTTTCAGTTCATTTTAATTGCAACTATCTTACATTGACACGAATCATAGTTATTCTTCTGTTGTTTATTGGTTGGAGTATCTTTTGTCAACTTTTCAACCAATATCAATTAGAATATCCTAAACAACAATTGGTGAAAGATTTTTTAGTCGACATTAGAAAAGAAAATCATAACAAATTATTGAAAAAATAACATTGGTGGCATTAATAAAAACCAATTACTACAAACATTAATAAAACAAAAAATTATTCACATCAATTTGAAAAATCTAGTTAACATCTAACAAAATAGTCTTCCCATAATTTAGATAAGAAAACTCTTATTAACGTCAAGGGAGAAATAACAATAATTTACAGATTAAAAAAATAATATTAATATTCTAAAACATAATTCCTATTAAAATGAAGAAAAAAACAAAAACTAGCATATAAATCTATAAAAGTAATCCTTAAAATATTAATAAAAAAATCTTTCCAGTCAAATTAGATCATATGAACATAAGATGTAAAAAATAAGTCTTTTTAATTACATCTCAAAATTACATACCTAAGTTTATTTTAAAATAAAATATACACGTGAATCAAGTTGTGCTTGAGCACATAAGCACGTATTGTTGTGAAGAAGTTATCACATTTCATAAACGACTTTTAACCATTGAAATAAAGTCGTGAAAACACATCATGATTTTTGTGTAACGTTAAAGTCGTTAGCATTAACAATTAATTTAATTAATAATAATTACATTTAATTTGACTTCACTGAAAAGAAATATCTTCCCATACGACGACTTTGGTATTAAAAACGAAATAGTCTTTTTTATGACAATTTTAGTTAAAATTTTCCAAAAAATTTAATAACAGAAGTCATTTTTTTATGACGACTTTAAATAAAATTTTCTAAAAAAATTTAATAATAAAAGTCGTCTTTCCTTTCCTTTGACGACTTTAGTTTAATATAAGTTAAACTCACGACATTATTTCTTAACGACTTTGATTTGTTTTTATTTTTTTTGAACTCATTGTTTGATATTACGACTTTAGTGTGACAATAGCTTCTTTTTGTCAAAAATTTTGGAAAAAATCACCTATCCATGACACAAATTTAGTTAAATTTTTTTAGCAGAAGTCGTTATATCCAAGAACGACTTCAGTTTAAGTTATTTTGACAAAAGTCGTCAATCCATTACACAAATTTAGTAGAAATGGAAATTATTTTAGCAGAAGTCGTCATATCTAATGATGAGTTCAATGTAAATTATTTTAGATGTTACTCGCATAACTTTGTTTTGGGAATAAGTCACTCAATGCAAGTGAAACTTATAAAAAATTAAATGTATCATTAATTAAAGTTAATACTAACAAAAGTTGTCTTATGCCTACTATTTTATTATTAACCAAAAAGTTGTCTTCTGCTTCCATGACTTTATTTTCACAAGTCACAACTTGTTCATATTTACGAAGATTTCTTCAAAACAAAGTCATGTAAACGAAACATGATTAATCTTTTACGTAATTTTTTTTAAAAACCGATCTACGTAATTTCAAAAGTAAATTAATCCAAATGTAAAACACCTAAAAAAAGAGCACATTTTACATCAGACTAATTAACATGTAACTTAAAAGATGACTTTGACGTCATCATGAGACTCGATGTCAAAAAACAGTTAACGTATACGTAATTTAGTATTTACCTGTCATAGAAGTAATGTATAATAATGTTTTGTGATAGTCAATATTTACGTTAATTTTAACATATCTGACATAAAAAATGATTTTTTTTTAATTTTTTTTTACATCAAA